ATTATATACATATATTGTAACATTCTCAAAAGATTGTTAAAAACCTTTGTAAAATATATTTAAAAAAAAAAAGATTATGAAAAGAAGAAAAAAATCGAAAAACTAGAGAAAGAACCAAATCTTGATTCGGTTAAGGCCGGTCCTAAGCAGAAGGATCGAAGATTTGGCCAGCGAACAAAACAGTTCCGGTTTGGTATTCTCTAATCAAGAAAACAAATGGATGATCTGCTACAAAATCTATCGGCCTCACCCAAGAGCAGCCATTGTATGGAACATGAAAATCAGTGCAAGCATAAGCTTCAGTACCTTCTTCATCAATCTCAATAAAAACTTTCTGGTACATTGACACATCAAGCACAAAGTTATTGAAATAACTTGAAGCTTCGAACCCTGATTCGATCTTAAACTTTGGAATTCTGAATTCACCAACTTTAACTTTTTCTTTGGGAATGTGACTATCCAAGAATCCAGGGGTAGATGACATTCTCTTTAAAAGATTATCCAATCCATCTTTCATGTCCGGGAGATAGAAATACATTGAAAAGCCGCGGTCAGTATCCTCGTCGCGGTCTTGTCTATAAGGAAGACTGAGGACCTTGAAACCATTATAAGACTCAATGTATTGTTTATGAGAGCTACTCATGAAGGGTACAGACACTGTTGTTCCATTGACAAGGTAAAAAGGTTTGCGTTCCGTCATTGACTTATGGAATTTTTTTTCCCAAGATCCTTTGAAGTACAATGCGGTTCCATGAATCCTGTCGGTTAGCCTTGTAACTGATCCATGAGGAAGAAGATTTTTGATGAGACCATTGGTGTGACGTGATGCCCAAGAATTCACTTCCATACGCACTTGTTCAGCCTTCAAAAACAACAAAAACTATAAACGCAAAACTACAAACCAAAGATCATACATATATGGGATTATAAGGAAAATGAAGAAAACATTGAATGTGATATGATTTAGACATATCTTGATGTGATAGAGAAATCATGCATAAGCTAACCTTGGTTCGGAAATCAACTTGCTCAAAAGCAGCCTTGAAGAAATTCTCAAAAATATCTTTCAACGAGGGACTAACAGGTAGTGATTGCTCCATCCAAACTCCATTAACGACAGCGATTTTGGGGCCGCCTTTTTTTCTTCCGTCAACAAGGACAAAGGAAGCTATTTCATGGAAAACTGCATTGAGTTCATCGGTTGAGGAAGACCTAAGGAAGGAGAGGATGAAGGATCTTAGTTCTTCACTTTCTTCATCGCAGCTAGCAGCAACCATGGTGAGTACCGCACTGATTGATACAGGAGAGAAGACGAAATTAGAGTTTTTGGCTACCGCAGAGATTGCTTTCCTAGCAAGTAACATAGCGACATCGTTTTGCTTCTTCATCACTTGTCTCACATCAATCTTTGACAGAGAAGGACTTGAGATTACCAAATCTTTATTCTTTGACAGAGAGGGACTTGTGATTACCAAATCTTTATTCTTTGATAGAGAGGGACTTGTGATTTTCTGAATTTTTTTGCTTCTTCGTCTTCTTCTTCTTCTTAAACTTTAGATGCATCTTTGAGAGAGAGAGACTTGTGATTCCTGATGTGTCAAGCTTTTGTTTCTTCTCCTTTCGATCCATCTTTTTGTTTTCAAAGTTTCCTGTGTTTTTCTTTTGAGCATATAAACAGAAGATATAAGATGATGAGATATATGGAATTAGGGTTTGGTGTATCGCCGCATTGAGAAAAAAAAGAAAAGAAAATTTCCTTTATTAAATTGTGTTGCTTGTTACGCAAGGTTGTCGGTCTCTCTGCTGGAGCTGGACTGGTGCAGAGGATCCTATCTGAATCACAGTCATTATACTGCTTTTTGTCTGTTATGTTCTGTTCCTTGCCTCAGAAGTCTCTAGAATTACTTGTCATCGTCATTGCTTCTTCTCTGTTGTATTCTGTTCCTAGCCTCCCTCAGAAGTCTCTAGAATAATTAATTACTTGTCACCAAGTAAAACTGTTTTTGTACTCCTATATACGTAAATGATCCCCTTTGAAATAATACACCAAATCTTTTATATCTTAACTCTATTTCACAAGATCGTTCTTTACATGCGATTAGAATTAACATATTGCAGCCACACAAAAAAGCCTCTATAACCACAAACCAAAAAAAAATGTTACTAGTATTGGTTTGAATCGAAAGTTCTCCCGAAATTTATTCTCAATAATCAGAAATTTAGAATTACCAAGGAAATTGCACGATTTACAAGACCTGATCAAGTCATTTTTTGCACAAGGTAAAAAACCAAATTAGAATTAATGAGCTAAATAATATTATGCTTTAAGAAGATAATTCCACAGATTCATCGCAAAATATATATATATATATATTGTGCGGAATAGAAAACTAGAACTAGTCATCTTATCAATGGTTGAAAAAAGAAATGCAAAAAATAACCACATACATATAAATTAGTGTTTTTTGTTTATCTATGCATATATGAATAAGAAACACAAGACCTACTCATGAATCATGATAAAATTACATAGAAAAAGTTAAAGACAAAAGTATCTCTATACAGAAATGTTGCGTAAGTCTCCCTAGCTAGTTATCATCAATAGTGAGCTTGATAACGCACAACACTTTATTCTTCATCACCATTTCGACAAGCCTATACTCTTCTATAGTCCAAGTTACCTTATGATCTTCTCCTTCACAAACATATCTTTGCTTCTTCGTTTCATAATACTGAAAAACCTTCTTGAAACCAATGGGCTCCCCGGACTTTGACCTGACCAGCCTATCAGGGTGCAGGATCCTCCAGTAACCATTATCGCATACATCGGTAACACCACAAGTCCCGTTAGTGAAGAAACAGGTTCCGAAGTTTAGAAACATCTGATCATGAATATCCACAAGCTTCCATGGATCCAAGCGGTACACGTTGTTTGTAACGTAACTAGGCCAAGAGTTTCCTTCTGAATCAGGTATCATTAGCACATATGATTCATCATCCATTTGTGGATATGTTGATTTGAATCCATAAGCTGGAAGTAATAGATTCGCAGGAACCGGTACGGCTTTAGTAGTGGGGAGATACGAGAAATGCTTGGCTAGCAAGGAACTAGTCTCGGCTTCAAACAGAAGACGAATCTTGCAAATCACATGATCTTGCTTCTTGTTCAAGTTATTCGTGAGCCTAAACTCTTCCATTACCCAGCTTCTCTTGTACTCTCTTGGTTTCCTCTGTACGCAGAACTTGAGAATCTTCTTGAACCCTAGAACCTTCCCAGTCTTCTCCGATTTGATCAGTTTATCACGACCAATGATCCTCCAGCAACCTGATTCGCATCCATCAGTTTTACCACAATCCTCTGTTCTTGGCTTAACGATCACGAAGGTAGGGCTCTCAGAATCGAACTCTTCATATGGATTCTTGTTGAACACGTCTACGTCTTTGATGAATTGCTGATGCCATGAATCTCCGTTAACGACCATACGCTTCAGATAACGTGAGAGTAATACTTCGTCTTCTGCTCTGATCAGTTCGTCTTCTGCTTTGATCAGTTCTTCCACTATTAGCATATCGTCTTCTGCTCTGATCAGTTCTTCCATGATTAGCCTATAAGTTGCCTCGTCTTCTGCTTCTATCAGATCGTCCTCCTCCATACTGAAACACATTATATCGATCAAGAAAAAGATGGGATCGAGAGAGAGAAAGATCAAACGCAAGAAAGTGTTGGTTTCTTGGAGAAGAAGCGAAAAAGAATTAAGAAGAGAGAGTTGTGTTAATGGACGTGCGTTTAAGTTCGTCTACTTATAACACCTTTAAACGGATAATATTGGCTCAATTTTTTATTCATAATGTTTAGTACTTTTAATTTATATTAGTTGTGAAATTAACAGAATGAATAAGTTTTAGATTATGATTTTTTGTTTTTTACCTAAATTCCAAATCTTTTGGCCTATAATTTCTTGACCACTGGTTTGCATTTGCTTAATAACAAAAATCAAGAGAAACTATTGTATTGATGATATAATTTTTATTTAATCTTAGTCCATAACATTTTTAGAATATTCTTAAAAACAGAGGCAATACACTCGTTGGGAGCTAAACATATAAAGGCTCCCAATAGAAAAATGTATCTCATTATTTGTTCTTCATCAACTTGGCTAATCTCTCGGCAAGACTCAGCCTAGTTCCAATGATTGATTCAAGAAGTGCCTCCGCCAACAACTTATTCTCGACCACAGTTTGTCAAGCTTTAAGAATAGTATCGTCTTAGAAAACGCAATCTGCAAAACATGTTTACAACAAACACATGACGTAAAAAAGTGTTCATAGCTACATGTTCTGACTACTATTGTGATAGCAGAAGTAGCTAGTACCGTCAGAAAGAGCGAAGAGGATGGAAGCATCGGGAGGATGGAAGCATCTCCAAGAATCTCTGAAGAGCTTTGACTTCGCTATGTATGTAAATCCCTAACGATTTCCAAATTGCTACACACTACTTTCTCCAAATATTCTTTTCCGGTCAATGGTAGTTTCATTGTCACTTTAATAAATTTCTCAAACTCACCTAAAGAACAATTCAATCATAAGGTTTTCTAAGTGAACTGTAACGTGCCCGTTAAGTAAGTGGTGTTTTAAAAAGCAAGCACACCTGTATTGATGTCACGGAAGAATGGGACGGCATTAGCCTCTAGGTAAATGCCAATGACAGTGAAAACCACAAAATTACCATGCAAATCCCAAACCTCGTACCCCAGCATGTGTAATTGAGCCAAAACAAAAGAAGTCAACCAAAAATAAAAGGAAAGAAGGGAAGAGAGCAGAGGAAACAGAGTTGGAACCAGTTTTGAAGTAACAGAGTCGATCTGAAGTGGCGTGACTGAGGGTAACGGTAAGAGAGAGGTGGACAAAGACATGGCTGAATCAGTTTTGATGATAGTCATTTTAAAGTTTTGTTGGTAATTTATTAAACAGAGAAGGATGAGTGGCTTGTAGAAATGGTCGACAGTCAAATCTTAGTCATATGATTACTATATAAAGACAAATCTATATGGTATGAAATGAATATATAATAAATAGATGTCCATTACAAGGTCCATCTTCTTGAAGTTTCTAGAGTTACTTACTTGTCAATATATATAAATATATAATACACCAAACGTTCTATATCTTTATATTTTTCTCTGTTTAGCATTATCCTTCTTTACATGCGATTACAGTTAACAAATTGCAGCCACAAAAAAGTCTCTATAACCACATAGCACAGGAAATAAAGAAGTATGCGCATGATCTAGTCTCTAGCTAAACCAAATTGAATAGAGAAAAAAAAAAAAAAAAAAAAAACACAAGGACTCATGGATTATCATATGACCAATTCTCTAGCTAGATGATCAATCATGAAATCCAGAGTAGAATTCCCTTAGCTGGAGGTGAACTTGATGACGCACAACAATTTGTTGTGCTTCGCATCGTTAAGCCTATACTCATCTATAGTCCAAGTTACCTTCACTTCTACTCCTTCACAAACATACCTTAGTTCCCCCACTGTATGAAACCTAAACACTTTCTTGAAACCAATCGTCTCCCCGGACTTTGACCTGATCGGCCTATCATGGTGCATGATCTTCCAGTAACCATCATAGCATATATCAGATGTACGACAAGTCTCGTTAGAGAAGATGCAGATTCCGTAATCCTCAAACATCTGATCGAAAGGATCTCCAAGCTCAATTGGATGCAAACGGTACACGTTGTTGTTGGTAACGTAGCTTGGCCAATCGTTTCCCTCGGTAGCAGCTAAGGTTATCAGATAAGGTACGTCATCCTCTGGAGTATCGGGTGAATAGTATCCATAAGCAGGCAGTAACAGATTTGCAGGAACTGGTACTGATATAGTAGTGGAGAGATACGAGAAATGCTTGGCTAGCAAGGAAATGATCTCTGCTCGGAACAGAAACTGAATCTTGCAAATCAGATGATCTTGCTTCTTGTTCAAGTTTTTAGTAAGCCTATACTCTTCCATTACCCAGCTTCTCTTGTACTCTCTTGGTCCCCTACTTAGGCAGAACTTGAGAATCTTCTTGAACCCTAGAACCTTCCCAGTCTTCTCCGATTTGATCAGTTTATCACGACCAATGATCTTCCAGCAACCTGATTCGCATCCATCAGTTTTACCACAACTCTCTGTTCGTGGTTTCACGATCACGAATCCAGGTCTCTCAGCATCGAACTCCACATTTGGATTCTTGTTGAACACGTCAACGTCTTGGATGAAGTGCTCGGGCATTGAATCTCCGTTGATGACCATACGCTTAAGAAAACGTGAGATTATTACTTCATCTTCAACGTTGGACAGTCCAACGTTGTCCAATTCGTTCGCCATAGTGAAACTCAAGAAAAATATTGGATCGTGAGAGATAAAGATCAAACTCAAGAATGAGTGTTTTGTTTCTTGGAGATGAAGCGAAGAAGAAGAGAGACTTATGCTAATAATGGAGGTTGCTTTCATAATTTATAACAAACTCAAACATATAACATGAATCAAAATGAGAAAGAATTACAGTATT